GGGGGGGAGGGAATGTCTCTGAAGATCTTCAATTGACCCCGATTCTTTACCACATTTCTAATAAAATAGAGAGCTTTCGATTGCATGACGCGTATGATCTAGAATGTAATGACGTCACTAATATTTCATCTGCGCATGCGAAAACGTTAAGTTTTCCTCGTCGTGTCGATCCCAAAATGCAGTTTGACCAAATCTACGTTATGCAGTGAACAGTCCTTCTAGAGTCGCGTCGTCGCGCAAATCGAAAGCTCCTAAGATTCACAGTATACTACCTTATCAACATTCAAGAGAGCGTGATATTCTTTGCCGGATACACTTATTATATAATTGATCGATTAATTTTAGGTATACAAAATCCGCCACGGTCTGTGGATATAGCCTACTACTAAATTATACTTCCACAAATGTGTATGTTACCAGACACTCACAAATGCGGGTTTTGGATTCGTTGTTAATTTGGATGTCTCCAGGAGCTTGCATTTAATACTAGTCTGCCTCAGCCGATAGCCCGAAACTTAAAAACCATCAGGAAGGATAAGCTTTGATCGACGGAGGAAATTCAGAATGTGTCGGAGTGCTGTTTCGGCTAATCGTCCTTCCGATCAAATGTCCTTTCGGTCGAAAATCTTCGGCCGAACTTCTTTCGGCGAAATGGCTTTACGCAAAATGGCGTTCGGTGAAATGAGCTTTGTGAAATGTCCATTCGGCGAAAGATCCTTTTAATAGGCAAACTGTCCATTTGGCCAAACGTTTTATCAAGTCCTTTCGGCAAAACGTAATTTTTTCGAGCAATTGTCTGTTGCCCAACTAGCATTCGTCTAATCGTATAGGTGGGCTAGTGATGAGCAGGCTGGTGTCCCTCACTCAAATCATTGAGCCCCACTATAAAGTACAATAGCCGGTTGGTTGACAATAATTAGTAATGTAATCCATCAATCAATTTTTGTTGGATTCACTTCTGATACAGTGGCACTCATACAAAATGATGGTGCATCCAAGAGATATACAAAAATATAGGAAAATAACATTTTCTTAAAATTTAAAAATAATAAGTAGGCCTAATCAAAATACTCGAGGTACCGTACTGAAAATTGTCATCAAGATAAACTTAAACTACTGAATTTTAAACAATTAGTTTTAACAGAAATATGAAGATCACAATTCGTCGAGGAGAAAAAATATATGTATTTTCTACATATTATAGTACCGTAATCTATCTACAAAATCGGGGTAGAGCTAATGGGAAGGGTCGAGGGTGGAGTAGTGGGATCATGATTAAGTGAGGGGGAGCTAGATCGCTAATTAAGATGATTTTAACTACTTGAGCGTGATTGTCTTGCTTTGGATTTTTCAGTGGGCGAAGATTTTACTTTCCTTTTGCGGGTGAGGGTTGGGAACGCCTAGGTACGCCACTGTTTCCTTCAGAAGACATATTATAAAACATAAACAACAGGTTTTACGTATATCAAACTGGATATAAATTCGGCGACAGGAAGCTTCAATAGCGCAAACTGGTTGTTAAATAAAGCGTGCATGCTGGCTATTTGATAAAACGTGATTGATCAGTTGTTTTACAATCCAGGAAGGTCTGTTCATTGATCGATTATTGATTTGCAAAATATCCAGAAACACCTCAGACTGGCTTCACGTTCACATTTTACCTCCGAGAATGTATGATTAATAATCCTATCGAATACTGTACTTAATATTTAGGCTTTGAAAATGTCCATGTACATGTCGTGTAATTTTCATCAATTCCTGAGGATGAAGAGAACAAGGTGAAACCACGTTCGGAAATTTTCTCGAACAAAGACAGTCGATCAACAGACGATAATGAAAATACGTAGTATGTAGATGCATCAAGAGAGACCTCTGAAACTATATCTGGATCATCGTACAGCCAGTCAGCTGGGGTATATGTGTCGTTTTCTTCACTGTACCTGAAATACCCGGTACTTAATTGTAATAGACTAAATACACTAATTTTGGCAGATATCCGAAAACCGAATGTATGCTTACACCATTCTAATTCTAAGAATTCCCGGCGGAATTCGTATGAATCTGAAGCAGTTGATTGTGTTGATGCATTCTCATCCTGTGTAGGCCATTCGGTGTTGACAAGTATAATGAGCTCTTTTAACTGATAATAGTGTGCCTCAGCCGATAGAATACTCCACTCTTGAAAACCATGTGGAAGGATAAGCATTGATCGACGGAGGAAATTCAGAATGTGTCGAAATGTTGGACCGTCTCCGTCAATGATGTAGCGATTGCGATGATCTACCTTAGTTGGCAAGCGGCCGCTGAACATCGATCCTAGCATTGAATCCGGATAACGCGTTAACGTAGAGCGACTTGTTGCATAGATGCATCCCCCAACATTTAGGTTTATTATTTCGTCAGCCATATCAGAGAAATCCATATTAATACTGTAGTTTGTAGAGAAAACAGGATTGCCTTAGCTAGGTACTATCTGTACTTCCTCTTTTATTTCTAGCCAAAAATGGCCTGCCTATACAGCGTAACCAGCGATGCGAATAACATTAATATATACTACTGTAGGTCTGATGGGAAAATAATTATGCTAAATTTATGCCCAAAAAAGGTAGTTGCTAAATAGACCTACAACGGGTTCAGCGAAGGGGGAGTGGCTTTTATGGTGACACGTCATGTATAATCATAGAGCTCTATGGTATAATTAGGCCTATACCGTCTACCTAAAAACATTACGCATACCATAGTGACCAGACCTAGCATAATTATGGTTTTTGGCATAATTTAGACCAATTTAGCATCTAGCATGTGTGCTGGCATCATTTTAGAAAATTTAGCATAATTTTGACCTCAGAATAACGAGAAAAAAAAGACTTTACTCTGAATTAAACCAGCCGTCAATAACCGTGGATACCACATAATAAAAATGAATTCGTCCATTGATTGAGTATCCAATAAATCTTATGCTATGCGCACACTGCAGCTGCCTCTCTGTGTGGTGTTTTTTTGTTTTTTTTTTTGTTTTTTTTTAACTACCACACATTGAAAATGGTTTTGGCAAGGTACTCAATCCTGTCCGGTTCTGTCCTCGCTGGAGTTTCGCGTTCGTTCGGTTCGTTCGGTCCGTCCAGGAGTAGTGTACTACCGACTACTGAGTTTTAAATTAAGATACTGATACTCGGGCTGATACTCTACTGCTAAGACTGATCAGGGAGTTGGTTATAACAACTGCAGTGGTTTCGCTTTTGCTGCTCGACTATACTATGTCTGTGCAATTACATAGTTTGTTTTTCTAATGTGTTATACACGGCGGTGGTATTTAAAGATAATATAAAATATTAGAAGAGAACAAAAAAGGTTACACATTTTAAAAAGGAGAAACTACTCGAGAGGAAAAAAAAATCATAAAATAATAATAATTATTATTATTATTTTCTTATTTTTAATAATAATAATAATCACTATTAATATTTTCATCGTTATTACAATTTTTATCATTATGACCATTATTATTATTATTATTATTATTATTATTATTATTATTATTATTACAATATTATGATTATTATCTATCTTTTATAATTTTTTATATACAACCACTCATTTTCATTTTATACTTATAGGCCTACAATTAATTAAATCCACTAAAGAAAAAACAGTATAATGGTTTAGTTTATTTTTTAAATTGGGGTCTTATCGAAAGGGGGCGCTTATTCGTAATTGAACATTTAGGGTTAGGGTGGCGCATATTCGAAATTTGAACATTTGGGGGCGTTTATTCGAAATTTAACATTTCGCATAATTTAGCATAATTTCCAATCAGTCTCGGCATAATTTGATTGCATTACTGGTCACAATATATATATACTGTCTCTTATACACATCTAGATGTGTATAAGAGACAGAAATGATGGTGCATCCAAGAGATATACAAAAATATAGGAAAATAACATTTTCTTAAAATTTAAAAATAATAAGTAGGCCTAATCAAAATACTCGAGGTACCGTACTGAAAATTGTCATCAAGATAAACTTAAACTACTGAATTTTAAACAATTAGTTTTAACAGAAATATGAAGATCATAAGTAATCGTGAAGAAATTACTATAGGGACGTATTCAGGGGAGAGCCGTGGGAGCCACAGCTCCCCCCCCCCCCTTTGTAAAGAGTTAGAATTTTAAAACTTGTTCTTGTTAGCCAATAGGCCTACAAATTCTTTCCTGGGATCACTTAAAAAGATACTTCTCTAAAATATGTAAATATTATGCATCAGCACTTTGGTGTTGAATTAAATGCTGTACAATTTCTAATTGACTCCTTTTACTATAGGTTTGTGACCCGCCCGTGCTCTAATAGAAACCCACCATAAGTTTCTATCAACAAAAGTCACTCGCTAATCTGATTGTAACCCAGTGGAATATTCATTAAATTAATCAATTTTTCACTCTACACAATAATGTAAAAAATAAATTTTTGGGCTTATAACGGCTACTGCTCAAGGAGTGAATTTAGCAAACTTGCTTAACAAAAAAAAACTTAAATTCGTCTTAAATCCATTAATCCCAGGCCATGTCTTTTAAAATACAGAAATGTGATATTGTATTGTTCAGTTTGGTTGTTATCCTTTTACAAGCATTTATAAAGTTTTGTTTAATACTACTAAAGTAGTAGCAATAATAATAATAATGACGACGATGATGATGATGATGATGATGATGATGATGACGACGACGACGACGATGGTGATTATGATAATAGATAATAATATTAATAATATTAAAAATTGTGCTGAGGGCGAAAACGAAATTTGTGATTTGTCCACCATAATTATTATAGTAGTTGAAAAGCTTAGTATATTGGGGCCCAAGTTGTCCTGGATATAAATATCTCTATGGTTGCGAAAATCCCTGATAAAAAGATCATGAGAAATTAGTTGGCGCCGCAGTATGACTATAATATGGTGATGTGACAATGATAATAAATTTTACTATTTAAAAGTGTCATTTCCGGCCATTTAGAGGTATTATTTTTTTTAATTGTCTCACCTCAGCCCCAACCATGGTGGGCTAAGGTGGTTATAAAATACATGCATCAAAGACAATGTTTTTAAGCTTTATTTTCTATGGTACATCACACATATTAATAAGATCTCTATGGTTGCCGAAAATCTGTGATAAATAATTATGAAAAATAAGTTGGCGCTTTATTTTGACTCTTATAATGGTGATAATATGATGATGATGTATTTTGCTATCGTCATTTCTGCCGATCTAGTACAATACTATTTTCTCAAATTTTCGCAACTCAGCCCTAATCATGATCGGTCTGAGGTGGGTGTGGACTCATGAAATGTCTCCCCACCCCACACCTTTACAGTACAGTACATATTAAAATCATCATAAAACAATCGCACACTGTACCCCGTACGCGATTTTTCCCCGTACGCGATTTTCCCGTAAGAAACATTTTCATGAAACTCCACTCGGGCCGTCTAGGATTAACTCGACTCGAGTACGATACGATACTGAGCATAAGGAACAAGAGCAGGCACTTCGCAATGTCGTGACCCTCGAGTATTACCATTCCCTGCATAGGGATAGACCTGGCATGCTTTTTGGCATAACTTAGACCCGTTTAGCATCTAGCATATGTGCTGGCTTTAGCAAATTAGCATAATTTTGTCCTAAAATGTAAATATCTGGCCAAAAAAAAAGTCACGTCAATTATTTGTATTTTCTCGGTTTGCCTATATTATTTCTGTGTAAAGCGCATAGGGGCAATGTGCATTATGCGCTATATAAATATACATCATTTATTATTATTTTATTATTATTAATCAAAATTATTTCATCCAAAAATCCTTGCTGTTGTGAATATCTATTAGTAGGCCTACCACTGATCCTATCCAAATTACTCTACCACATCAAGTTTTTTTTTTCTTTTTGCCAAGGCCTTTGTCCCGCACATCGACTACAGAACCTTTTAATCCACTGCCAAGTATGTGCCTGAAGATTTTTGAAATGAACTATATAATGGGAAGAGCGAATGTTCTGCCATGAACCAAATGTACAGTTATAAAAGTTTGTGGGAAAAAAATGAATTATTTATTTCTTTATTGATAGAAGTACACAAAATACCACATCCAAATAGCAAACTCCTATACCGAATGCCTCTTGATGTGGACATCTTCAATGGAATCTGTGATTATATGGCGATAAAGAACATTTTTTTTTGTAGGAAAATTTAACCAGCTATATTTTCAAAGAAGATTTATTATTATTAGTCCATATCATTTAAATTGCAACATAAGTTAAAATTACTACTTATTGTAAATAGAAAAAAAATGTTTTTTTTTTCTTTTAAACAATGTGCTAGGAATCAGTAGAATTGAGAACATTCTTATTGTTGGAACTGCCAAAATTGCTCTTTTATCCTTGTATGTTGATTCGGAAAATGCTTCCCTATGCTCATTCCCTTTTTCTTTCGAATTGTGAGACCTGGAATTGATATGCCAGTATCAAAATAGCGTTTTAGATATAACGCTGAACATTATTCCGTATCTGCGAATGTGCTGGTTTAACACGCGTAATTGATGCGTCAATAGTTGGTTCAGATAATTTCCCTTACTACAACTTGCTAAACCGAACACCTGTTTAATGTTGGATTACATTTGGGTGACGATTTTGCCCATAGACCTACTCTGTGGCTAAAAAATAATCGTTAAATAAAAATAATTTATGATCCCTGCTTAACGTGAGGCCTTCGGCGCGGTGGATAAGAGAGCAGCTTAGCTCAGTCCGCTAAACTGATGGTATCCATGTGTGTGCGCTGAACCGTGATGATTTCTTGGTCCTCGGTTCAATTCCCATTGCTGCTTTCCTTGTATTTTAGCCGGAGGGCTGAAATACAAGTTAGGATATCGCACCGTTTTTTGGATGAGACGTTTAACCCGTTGGTCCCGTGTGCATTATGGTCACATGTTAAATAACGCAGTAGGCCTACACTCTTCGGAAAAGAGTAGGGGATTGTCTGCAGGTGTACTGTCCATTTAAAACCAGAAGGACCCCATTGGAAATAAGTCTTCTTCAGACTTTCGTGGGCTATCCTTGGTGTTTACACCGAATGAATCCATCATCATCTGAACTATGTAAAAGATACTAGTGTAGGTCTACTTACTTATGCCTACTCGTTGTGTACGAGATTTAAGGGGTACCAGATAAAATGATGAAGAAAAAATTAATAAATAGGCCTAAATCTAGTCAGTAGAGACCCCTGGCATTAGTTAGTACAGTAAAACAAAACAAAACATAAAAGCGCCGCTCTCGAACACCGAGCAAAGAGTACTTGAAACGTTCGGTTTGGGATACAGAGTTAAAATAAATGAATAACGCAATGAAGACAACTATTTCTTTATCAA